TCTTCGAAGCAGATCTGAAGCCGCCCTAGGAACGACCTATAGCGGAGAGTTTGGGCCTCCAGCCCACCCAAACGGTTACATGAGTTTAGTAGCCCAAGCCTACCGACAGGAGCAGGAAGAAGAAGTCGAAGAGGAGGAGGGAAGGATAGAGGACGAGGAGGAGGAGGCAGAAAAGAAGGAGGGTGAGTGACACCATGCGGTCACCACGTGCGTGTTACACGGGTAATTGCCATCGCTGTCAAATCATACTTTGCGGACCAGGCGCTCACAAAACGGGCAACACCCTGCCAAACAGTATGTACCACGCGGATCGCGCGGTGCACCCCTGCCAACACCCTGCCAAACAGTATGTAGCCCTGCACCAACGAAGGAAGAGGTGGGGAGAGGACGCAGGAGGAGGAGGGAGGGAAAGGAGGGGGGTGGCAGGATGAAGGAGGCAAGTGGGAGAAGGGGTGAGGGAGAAAGGAGTGGAGGGGGGGGGGGAGAAGAGGACCTGAGCTGAGAGAAGCACGGCGGGCGGGCGCGCCGGAGTGCACTCGGCGCAGGCGGTGCGCCGGGGAGGAGAGGTGGAGCGAGACGGGCGCCGGCTTCACTGCGGCGGCACGCCTGCCTGCTGTGGAGCGTCGATGCCCGTGAACGCGGGCAACCCTAGGGCAAGGTGACATGAGGCAAATTCGCGTCGTGTCGACCACGGCGTCAGTTCCTGACACCGCTGGGATCGTTCAGCCAGGAACGGTCGGCCGTTTCCAAGACGTCAGATCGTCCAACATAGAACGACACTGGGTCGCCGGCCAAGTTCGACGTTGAAGGCCAGCGGCGGGTTCGCCGCCAGTCGACACGGCGCGAACCTACCGTACTTCATCACGCCGCCGTTGGGGAGCGGATGGGCTTGAGGTGCGGGGGGTGGAGCACCGTGGTGTACCATGCCATAGAGGGCGCCGTGCGGGGTTGTGACCACGCCATGGCCGTGGAGGAGCGGGCTCGAGACTCATCGCCTGGCCCGTGGTTGAGCCAGAACACCCCACCCCATGCCGGCGAGCAAAACGAGACGAGACGAGACGGCGCGAACGCCGATCACTGCTCCGCGCGGAGCCGCGGGAGCGGAGCCTCGAAGGCGACGCCGCCGGGGCCGTGGCCCTTCCTATGTCAGTCCTGTGGTAGTCCTTGGCACATTGGGAGTGTGGCGCCCGTCGCAAATGGCGAGGCGCGCCTGCCGAGAAGCGACTGTGAGATATCAAACATGTAGCGGTGGACTCAGCAAGGTGGGCACAGTGGAGGCCAGCCAACAAGAAACCCAAACCCTGAGGCCCCGCTTTCCATGGCAAAACCGTCGAAACCCAAGAAACCCAGGACGCCCTGGAGGCAAGCAGGGTGCTTCTTGGCATGGGCCTCCACTGTAACATGTAGCGGTGGTCTCAGCATGGTGGGTAGGTGTGGTCTTGACTCAGTACAGCCGTGCCCAGCGGTGCATGTAGAGGAACAAAACAAACTGCACAGACATAAACTTTCGGAGGCCCGCGCAGACTTCTTGGATCAGCGTTGGACCCTCTTCCCTGGCGCGTGGAGCGCGCCAGGGGCGGCGCCAGAGGCGCCGCCGCCAAAAGGACCCAGCGCCGATATAGTAGGTGCGTTCGGACATCCTAAACTTATGTCTATGCAGAGGTTCCTTTCTTCGAGCACGGGGAGATAACAAAGATGGTGGACGCTCTGCACGAGAATCACCATCCCTGTCACTCGTCCAGAGGGGGTCGGGTTGTTCCTGGTCTGTGGTGGACAGTGCAAGGCTTGCCTGGGGCGACGGTGCAGCGTCAGCCATGTCAACAGTCAATCGTGCTGGTCGGGTGGATCGAAATTCTGTGAGAGCATCTGGCGCATGTGCACGGTCTGCCCAGACCCCAAGCCTCCTCTCGCTGTGAAGAATAAGGACGGAAGGTAGATCCTCATGTTTGGCCTCCAGGGCCTTCGCAGACCCCCAAGGATCGTCTAACATGACTCGGGATGAAAGACCGGTCCTGGGGACAGAAGGTCGAAACCTCCAGGGGAGGAGGGAGGAGGGAGGAGGGAGGAGGAGGAGGGAGGAGGGAGGAAGGAGGAGGGAGGAAGGAGGAGGAGGGGGGAGGAGGAGGGGGGAGGAGGAGGAGGAGGAGGAGGAGGAGGAGGAGGAGGAGGAGGAGGAGGAGGAGGAGGAGCTGTGCAAAAGAACTCGACGTCGGAGGCGCGAGCGCCTCGCCCTGCCGCGGCCACACACGGGCACGCGGTAGGATTGCTGCGGTTCCGGATGCTCGCCACTCCTCGCCAGGGTCGGCATGTCGCGAGGTACTCCGGATTTCGTAATAAAGGGAGGGGGGTCTCATTTCGAGGGGGGGTCTCTTCCAGGCTATCTTGGAGGGCCTGGGGGGGTCTGGGGACGATGTTTTGGAGGGTTCTCCCACGGGGGGGGGTCTGAAATGGCTTGTCTTGGAGGGTCCAGACCCCCTCCCGAAATCTGGAGTACTCTGTGTGGTGAACAGGTGCGCCCACAGCCAGCGGTACAGATTGTGGAGAGGGCTGATCAAATCTGCGGTGTGAAGGTCGAGTGGTGCGGGCCGATCACTGGCAGCCTTGTGCTCGGACAGCTGCCGCAGTGGAGCAGACCGAAGGGGGTGAATACTGTCTGCCATTCGGGGGCCTCGGCATAGCATGTCCATGCGCGAAAGTGTGGGCAGCACGGTCAAAAGATTGCATGTGCGGATGCGAAGGAGAGGGAGAAGGGGCGGTGTGACGTGGGTGCGACGCCAGAACCCCACTTGGCACGTGGGGAAAAACGGATGTCCGCGCGGATGTCTTTGATTGGCGCTGGACCCCCTCCCCCTCCCTGCCGCGCGGAGCGCCACCTGCGGCACCGAAGGCGCCGACGGGGGGGGTCCAGCGACGACCCAACCAATCCGCGCGGACCTCCGAGCGTGTATGCTCGTGCTGCTACAGACAAAACTGATCGAAGAGGACACGCGACAAGACACGAGGCTCTTCCAAGGGCAACGTGGGCCCCCCCCCCAAAAAAAGGAACAAAAAAAAAAAAAACGGGACACAAAGAGCACCCCTGCCACCGAAGCGCAGAGGACACGAGGGCCGATGCGCAGGCCACGAGGGGACCCCCTGCATGCTGGCAGGGTGGACCTGCTCATGAACTCCGACCGTAGCTCATACCTCGACTCCTGGTAACAAGGAGAAGCGACACCACCACCACCAGGAAACCATCGCCGGGAGGGGCCAGGGGGGGTCCCCCTGGTGGTGTGGTCCCCCCCACCTCAGGCTCGAGCCTCCCCCTCTCCCCAGCTCTGGCAGGCATCGTGGACCTCCTCGCTGGAGGTGGCCCCCTGGTGGAGGTGGTGCCGCTTCTCCGTGACACGGCACACATTCCAGCGCACGCTTCTCGGGTGATCCTCGGGGGTGGAACGCACTGGGCCGCCTTCGCTGCATGTGCTTGTCGCTCGCAGCCTCCATTACCGGCGTCGGACTACCTCCGCTACAATTCTTCCCCTCCCCCTCTTCCTCATCATCCTTCTGTCTCTCCATCTCTCTCTCTCCCTCTCTCCAGAGGTCTCCTACATGGGGTCCGAGTAGATAGAGTCGGAGGATTGCACCGCATCGCCGATGTATCGGCGATGCATGGGCGATGCATAGGCGATGCGTCGGCGACGTCAGCGCTGCATCGGCTCCGTCGGCGTGGAGAAAATCGGGCTCCACATCGAGCCGCATCGCCGATGCATCGGCGATGCGGCGCGATCCTGCGACCCCATCTGCACGGACCCCCTCTGGGAGGCCCAGATCAGCATCCTTCTGTCTCCCCCTCTCTCTCTCGCTCGCTCGCTCGCTCTCCTCCTTCTGAACAAAGGTTATGTTACATCCTCGGGGGGCCTTGTCTGCCCTGTCGCGGCCCTATCCGTGTCGAATCCGTGTCGAATCCATGATGGCCTCGTCGGATCCGCGTCGAATCCGTGCCGAATCCGCGTTGAAACCACGCCAAATCCGCGTCGAGGCCGCATCGAGCCCGCGTCGGGCACAAGAAAAGAAACCAGTTTGGGGGACAGGCGAGGTCCCTCGAAGATGCAGCGCAACAGAGGGGTTTGGCCGCCGGCGGGCCCAAGGTCGCGGAGAGGGACATGGACACGAGGGAGTCCCTGCCGTTCAGGTACGTCTTCCACGAGGGCCGCCGCGAGAGCGTCTGCTCGGGCGGACGCGAGGCCTGCCCGCCGGGCGGGATCCGTCTCGGCACCGCGTCGATGGGCGACAGGACCGAATCTAACCAGCCTCGAACGGATCCCTATCCCTAAGATTGGCACGCCAAGAGGCGGTGGCAATCTTAGGGGTTCGCCCTCAGAAAATAAGGGAATCCCTAAGATTGGCATCGTGATGAGGAGGTGCCCAGCATAGGGATGGGGATATGTTCCAGGCTGGTAAGTCTCGGCACCGCATCGGGGCGACAGGACCGAATCGCTACGTGTTCGCACACGGACCATAGACGAAGGCAAAATCGAGACGGAATGGGACTGACATGGAGCGGAAGCCTCTGAGAATCGGCGGGTTTGGAAGGCGTAGCGGGCGCCGCGGCCGTTTCGGAGCGTTCCGGAACGTCCTCACAGCGCTCCGGAAAGCTCTGGGACGGATTTTTCCAAGCCAATCCTTACACCAATCGATCCTGGGCTGTCGTCGGCGGTCTTCGGCGGTCTTCGGACGATCTTCGGCAACCTTCGGCGGTCTTCGGCGGTCATGCGACAGCTTTTGGCGGTTTCGGGCGGTCTTCGGCGGTCTTCCGTGGTCTTCGGCGCGAAAGCTTGATGGTTGTGTTCAAGAAGGACCTGTTTTCAATTTTCCGTGATAGCGGCCGTCACTGGCCGGCGGGGTCTGGGAATACCTAGGGATGACAAGAGGCCAAGCAGGAGCAGCATATGAATGGCGATCTGCACCACACCGCCTGTGTACACCACAGTCCTCGCGGGCACCAGAGCGCGCGTGTAGACCACACCGTCTGCGTAAACCGCAACAGCCGTGTGCAACACAGCGCTGTGTATACCACGTTGCTCGCGTGCACCAGAGCGCGCGTGTACACCACACCGTCTCTGTACACCGCAGCGGCCGTGTGCAACACAGCGCCTGTATACACCACAATGCTTGCGTGCACCGCAGCGCCTGTGCACACCACAGCGTGTACACCACAGCATCCTCCTACAACGCAGCGCTGGTGTACACCACAGCGCCTGCGCGCACAGGACAGGAAGAAGGAGCACGTGGGCGAGGATCTGCTCTGGACAGCTACAGTCGAAATCTATGCTAAGCACCGACGGTAAGGGCGCAAAGGCCTTGGACGCCGAACTTGGCACTTGTGGGCAGCGAATTGCCAACACCCGGAAGGACTGAGGCAAGAACGCAAGGGCACCCTAAGGACATCCGTGCGTCTTAACTAAGAGTTGCGACTGTAAACGCCACCCAAGGGGAGTGCTGAGAATGGAACGCGATCGTTTTCCCTCCTCGCGCCCCCATGCCACATCGCCTCCCACTGCACTTCCTCCGCACTGCCCCACGCCTCAAGCGAACTCCTCCGGGAGTTAAGATGATGCGGGGGGATTCGGGAGAACTCGTAGATTCCAGAGGCACTTGTTTTTCCATACCGATTATTTTCACAAATTCTGTATCAAAGCAATTCAATGCTGTGCAATCCACAGGCGCTGCGTTTTGTCATAAGGCTTCCTTCTAAAATCTCACCCGCCCTTTGGGCGTAGGTGGTCTAGAGCGTTTCCTCTTCTAACCCGTTTTTCCCCTTCGGAGAGGGGTTTATCACTGTTCCCTAAAAATATACACCCGCCAACCCGGAACCATGCCAACCCCACGAGGACCCCCCCACACCATCCCTGTCAACAAAACATACAAAACGCACTCTGCCTCCACATTTGGAGCACGCGCGGCCAACCCGATGCGGCCATCCCCCCACCATCCTGTCAAAAAACAATACAAAGTACACTTTGGGGCAAAGTCTTGAATCATGTTCGTGAGGCCCGCAAGCACTGTGTATTGTTTTTGGTCGAGGCGGCGGGGGTGTCAGCATATTCCCTGCTGCGCGCAGGGCTACCAATCATGACAGAAAAAAAATGCAAAATGCGCCTCGCGGCTAAGTCTGGATCATGCGCGGCCACCCCGCGATCACTGCCAAGTGGTTTTCGACAGGGACGGCGGGGGTGGTGGCGCATGGACCGCTGCGCGCAGGCCCACCAGACACAATGATGGGCCTTGGTTTTCGACAAGGATGGTGGGGGTCGACATGTTTCCCGATGTGTGCTGCCACGTGCGCAGGCGCCCCTGACGCACTCTGCACGTGCCCCGAACGTGGCGCACCTGGCGCGGCTGGAGTGTGCGGCACACCTGGCGCACTCGGAGCACGTGGTGCATCTGGCGCACCAGGCGTGCCTGGCACGCTCGGGCCCCAGGGGTGCCTGGCGCGCGTGGCGCCCCTGGCACACGTGGCGCACCTCGCCCAAGCGTCGCGCACCTGGGGTCGGCTTTGGTTCCCAGTAGCTGTCCATGCAAAGACGACCGCTGAACATGCTCAGGCTCGGGTGTTACTTATTATCTTGGGAGGGGAGGGGGGGGAGTGAGCTAGACAGCTTGCGGGCGGGTGGGTAGCTTGACCCCTCCCCCTACCCCCTTCCCCGTGCACGGAACGCACGTCGAGTCCGCACCGAGCCTTCGTCGTGCACGAGAGAGGACCGCGACCTGCAGGACGGGGGGGCTCCCTCCACGGGTTTCGCTGGCCGGGCCTCGTCTGTCTCGTCGAGCTCGGCGAGGCTCAGGATGTCGTCCCTGATGGCCTCGAGCGCCCCCTCGTCTCTCCCGCCCCCTTGCAAAAGGGCATCATGTGGGGGAGGGTGGGGGACTGGCTCAGAGGCGGAACATCGACGGCCCCCGACAGCGAGGCCGCGCGTCCCTGGGCGATTGATCGGCGAAGAGCAGGCGATCGGGGGTCCGCGCAGTCCACCCTGAGCGGCTCCCCCCCTAACGTTGCCCCCTGCTGCTCTTCTCCAAGGTCGGCCACCGTCGAACCGGAAGTCGACTCGAATCGGGCTGTGCGTGGGATCGGGCCGCATCCGCGCGGGATCGGAATCGAATCAGGTCGGCCGCGCAGGGATGCACGACGAACAGAGCCACGCAAGCATCGTGGGCATCGGGCCACCTCGGGTCGTCGGAGCGTCGGAATCGAATCGCATCGGGCAGGCCGAAACCGGTACTCCGAATTTAGAATTAACGGGGCAGAGGTCACAACCCTCCTGGACGAGCACTTTTCGATCCCCCAGACCAGCCGTGCACGGGCAGCTGTGAACCCAAACCCCAGGAACCCTCCAAGACAGCTCTCCAAGACAGCTCAAATCCGACATCCCTCCAAAAAAGTTCCCCCCTTTCATTATCAGGTAGGTAGGTATATCAGACTGCATAATCATAAACTTTCGACGGTCCGCGCGGATTTCCCCC